GGTATATAGGCGCAGTATACGTGACAGGAGGGTATATAGGCGCAGTATACGTGACAGGAGGGTATATAGGCGCAGTATACGTGACAGGAGGGTATATAGGCGCAGTATACGTGACAGGAGGGTATATAGGCGCAGTATACGTGACAGGAGGGTATATAGGCGCAGTATACGTGACAGGAGGGTATATAGGCGCAGTATACGTGACAGGAGGGTATATAGGCGCAGTATACGTGACAGGAGGGTATATAGGCGCAGTATACGTGACAGGAGGGTATATAGGCGCAGTATACGTGACAGGAGGGTATATAGGCGCAGTATACGTGACAGGAGGGTATATAGGCGCAGTATACGTGACAGGAGGGTATATAGGCGCAGTATACGTGACAGGAGGGTATATAGGCGCAGTATACGTGACAGGAGGGTATATAGGCGCAGTATACGTGACAGGAGGGTATATAGGCGCAGTATACGTGACAGGAGGGTATATAGGCGCAGTATACGTGACAGGAGGGTATATAGGCGCAGTATACGTGACAGGAGGGTATATAGGCGCAGTATACGGGATAGAATGGTATATAGGTGCAGTATACGGGATAGAATGGTATATAGGTGCAGTATACGTGACAGGAGGGTATATAGGCGCAGTATACGTGACAGGAGGGTATATAGGCGCAGTATATGTGACAGGACGGTATATAGGCGCAGTATACGTGACAGGACGGTATATAGGCGCAGTATACGGGATAGAATGGTATATAGGTGCAATATACGGGACAGGATGGTATAGAGGTGCAGAATACATGATATTTAGGATGTATTGAAGTATATAGGTGCAGTATACAGGACACTATAGTATACAGGCGCAGTATACAGTATATACCTCCTCCCTCACCTCTCTGACGTCCTGCAGGCACTCCAGCACGGCCAGGTTGTTGGTCCAGGCGCTCTTCGGGCACAGGCGACTGATGTCCTCCCGGCAGGCCTCCTCCTCGATCAGCCGGATGCCGGGCAGTCTACGGGCCGGAGAGGCGGGGGGATCCTCGGCACGGGCCCCCGGGTCCCCCATAACACCTGCCAGGCCCGCCAGCAGGCAACACAGTAGCCGGACACGTCCGCAGGCCGCCATCTTGGAGAGAGCCAGTCACGGAGCTCAGGCGCGGCACCGGGGAAAACTGGAGCGTGCGCGTCACCACGCCGAGTCATTACGTCATGACGACGGCCAGACACTGCCCTCATCCAACATGGCGGCCGCGGTGTCCTCTTTGTACTCGCCATAGAAAAATGCCAGAGGGGCAAAATGTCTCTGAAGCCTATTTTGTTTTGTTTTGCATAGAGCAGGGAAGGGTTAGAAGCCATGTCAGGTGTATTTGTACATCTGTTCCCCATAGGGGAGATTTCCATTCACTTCCTGACCCAAGGGTGAAAAAGGAAGTGAGCGGTAATCTCCCAAACTGAGGACAATACACTCTTAGACAGCTGTCATCATTGGAAGATTTCACCTCTATTCCTGCTCCAGTGACAACTGTAACATTATTGGATTTGTCACCAGGAACAAACAGTGAATCTCCCCAACAGTCTAACCCATGCATACCCCATCCATTTGGCTGGAGATTCATTTTTTCAATAGCTGTCATACGATTGGATGAACACAGCCATCTCCGGGGCCCCCCATGGACAGAGCTCCTGTTGTGGAAACCTAAAAGATAGTAACTGAGCCCATTTACTGGTGTCCATTAAACCCCATCGTGTCCGGAGCCATATGATCGCCCCACATGCAGGGCGCAGACATCATCCAAAATCTTCATCACAAATCTGAGAGGAATCAGAAATCATTTCATGCCTACCTGTCCCCCGCCCCCCCATTTATGTGGGACAGGACATGCATCACCCATACACCCCCCTATCTCACCCTGTATACCCTCTTGTATCACCCAATATGCCCCACTTCATCACCCCCTTACATCCCACTACCTCACTGGCTACACCCCTTGTATAACCCACCCCATATACCTCACTAGCTCTGTACACCACATTACATCCCACTATACACCCCCCTTACATACCTGACATTTCACTCCCCATTACTTTGAAGCACCCTATACACCCCCTCACCTGTCACTGAACCCCATCTCCTCATGGTGTATGGGGGCGACATTACAGAGCAACCAATCAGATCTCACTATTCATTCCCCAACTGCCACTAATATGGAAAGGTGATCACGTTAGTTGTCTGCCCCTCCCCCTCATAACATCATCAGGCCACGCTCTGAGGGCAATATTATACACCATACAGAGTACAACACATCCCCCCTCCTCCCCCCAATCAGACAGGGCGGTATAGAGGCGCAGTATACGGGACAGGGCGGTATAGAGGCGCAGTATACGGGACAGGGCGGTATAGAGGCGCAGTATACGGGACAGGGCGGTATAGAGGCGCAGTACACCCCCCTATATAGTTGTCTGCCCCTCCCCCTCATAACATCATCAGGCCACGCTCTGAGGGCAATATTATACACCATACAGAGTACAACACATCCCCCCTCCTCCCCCCAATCAGAGCTGTCCAGGACTGCCGGTGAAGATTAGGTGAACGCAGGTGTGCCGTCCTCCGTAGGGTGGTCACCTGGGGTGCAGGAAGCCGGCTCCGCCCCGAACAAGAATGTAATTTACACACAACTTCCCTTTGAAACAAATGTTTTGCCTTCTTGCTTCTTCCTTTGGGATTAGGGAAGGGACATAACCTCCATCAGGGTTTTATGGCCGTGTCCTCAACAGGGAGTTTTCACAGAATTCCTGTCCTGACCCCTCCCCCCCGAGGAGAAATCTTACATTTATTGGTGGCAAAAACTACAAATCCAGCAACTTTATGAACCGCCACAGGGGGGGGGCGGGTCGCTCCCCGGACCGCCACTCCCCAAGAAATCATTCATGGAACATTCAATTAATTGGCAGGATATGGGTGGCCCAGCTGTAGATAGAGGACTAGAAGTCCCAGTATGCCCCCTGCTGGCTGCTCCCCAACCACCATCCATCCGTAGCAGAGCCGCCACTGGCGACAGAACAAAGGAAGCGACAATTAAAGGAGAACTATGAGGTGAGTGACAAATCACACGCCTCATAGTTCTAGCCGACGGGTCACAATGAGACTGTCACAGGTCGGCTCAGTAGATCTGGAGGTGAGCGAACACATACCGGCGCTCGCTCACCTCTCGATCCTGTCACGGCTCTCTGCCGTGACAGGGGCTGGATTCCCCGCTCCGATCCTCCAGCGCTGACTGGCGGAACGGACGGGGGAGGGTACAGCTGGCTCTGCCTCTGGATAGGCAGAGCCGGCTGTCACTCACGCAGCTGGGCAGATCCAGACACAATTGTTCGGATCCGCTTCAGCGTCTCAGTACAGCTCCCTATATACTGAGCTTTGGGTGACGGGAGGACGCTAGTTTGTGTCCTCCCGTTACCCTAAGGAGCACTATGGGGGAAAAGCCCTGACCCCGTACTTCTTTAAAAAAAAAAAAAGATTCTGGAAGACAGTCCGTTCGGTAAAATTCCAGGTGCATCCAATGCACTAAAACAAAAAAAACTTCTTTATTCTGACAAAAAGAGGAATGTTACAATGTACAATTAGAATATATACAATGACATTACACACTATACATAAAAACCCAAAA